GGCTGGCACCGCCAGCACTCAGCGCTCTCAAAGTCAGGCAGATGAAATCATAAATTTATAATACAACATTACTTCAATTTTCCTCTTCATTTACTGCTGCAGTGCCCAGCTCTGCTCTAACGACTCGAAGCCTGATCCTCGTGGGGACATTGCCTGGCTGAATATCAATGGTGTTTAACACCATGCCTACATGGATGCTTCATCAGGCCAAAGGATGGCCCTGCTGACCTGCCCAACATTCCCATTAGGTGCCATCCTCATCCTGCACTGAGAAGCTGATTTGCCTTGGTAGTCCTGGGGAGTGACCAGTTCCTGGTAAGTAAACCAAAAATTCAAGTTTTGATTGGATTGCCTCCTTCCAAGCAAGACTGTCCTGTGCACAGAAGCAGAACTCAAACCAGCAGCCAAACTACTCTCACACCACTGCTCCTACCCAGCTCCTGTCCAGGCTTTGGAAATGTCTTTTCATTTTAAAATTTGCTAATGGGGTGGACAAAAGCTCATGGTCAATATGTGGGAATGCTGAGCACACAGGAGCCGGGGGACCCGTGCAAAATTAGTTCAAATGCTCCAGAAAATGCAAGGAAGCTGTTGTCTCCAAATGTTTCCCTGAGTTACAGCTGCTACTCCACTGAACAGTGTCTGCTGGAAAAAGGAATGACTTTCTTTGAAGGGCACAAGCTTCCCTAATGCATGAGCTCAGCCCACCTAGACTGAGCGTGAGCAGGAACACAGAGCCCTGCCAGGACCTTCCCAAATCTGCTCCCCCCTCACATCACTCCAGCACCACGGGCTGTGAGCCTGGGGGCTGAGTGCTTCCAGCTCTGGAGGGGTGTGCAAGCTAAAGGGAGCCCAATTCTAACATTAAACACCAGCGTGATGCCCAGCACCAGGAGAAATGAGTGCTGCCAGCCCCAGCTCGAGGCAGGCAGCACAGGGTCACCTCCAGAGCTGTGTGCCACCACTGTGGTGACGGCAGTGCCCCAGACACAGAGAGCAGCTCCAGATGAGAGGGGACACAAAAACCATCTCCCCTTAATGCTGCTCCTCTGCTGCTCTCTTCTTTACAGGTTTCCAGGCACAGACCTGAACACAGCACAAAAAGCCCTGGGGCAGTGCTGTGACTCCCACACACCCTTGGGTGACAGAGCACCCCAGGGCCAGGTGCCAGTGTGAGGCTCCAGGCACAGAGAGAGTTCTTGGTCACCAAACTGCTCCCGCTCAGCCACACAGGGGGCACACAGAGCCTGTCTGTCCATCCAAGGGGAGCGGGGCTGGCTGCTCCACTCTTTGTGCACAGAGGCTGATTAAAGCCCTGCCCTCCCTGAGAGCAGCAGCCCCAGCCCCAGCCAGCCCAGCAGAAGGCTCAGCCTGCCCCCGCTCTCCCAGTCAAAAAATCCTTTCAGAACGCTTTAATTTTGCTCCAATCAACCAAATCATCACAGAAGCGGCTGCCTGCGCACCTTTAGACCCTGGCTGCTGCAGGCTCCTTGGGGAGGCTGTGATTAATGAAAAAGACCAACTTCCTTAATAGCTTTAGAGGGAGCCGCTCCCCGCTCCTTCCTTGGGGTTGTCTCGTGCCTTCGTTCCTCTGATTCCCTCCTCTGCCCAGGAACAGCAGCTGCAGAAGGTGACCTTGAGCAAGGATTTCTGGAAACAGGTACAAAATCCCTTCCAGAGCAGCCCCAGTTGCTCTGCCTCAGTCCAGCTGGGCAAGCAACAGAATGGGGCAGACCTGACCCGGCCTCGTGAGTCCCCACAGAACAATCAGCAGCAGCAGTGATGGAACTCTGTGTCTGATCATTTGATGGGTTAATTATGCCCCTCTTCCTGCAGGGATGGGCTCTGCAGCCTTTGAAACAGGGGCTTTCTGAGGGCCATCCAGCAGCTCTGCTCTCCCGTGCTGCAATCTCCTTGTTTAGCACTTAATTATTTAACACGGTGCCACGGTAGCAAGCGGCAACTTGGAAGATGAAAAACCAGCTCGAGTGGATAATGAAGCATCTGGCCTTCACCATGGATCAATCAGCAATGCTCAGCCAGTCCCCCCAGTCTGGAATGCAGGGAGAGCAGTGTGGGACTGGCTGGAGGTGCCCTGGCCAGGGTGACCCCACAGCAGCAGCACCAACAGGTGCCCCAGCTCTCCCTCTGGGCAGTTCCACTCACTCAGAGCTGCTTCCCTTAATGCTCACAGCTCGAGAGGAGCCTTTTCCAGAGAGATACCCCAGTGGGAATGGACACACTGCACCTGGGGGCTGAATTCCCTTTCAGGACTCTGGGGTGGATCCAGCTCCATCCCTCAGTGCCCAGTGCAAGGAACCAGGCTGAGGGCACACGGTGCAGGATGATGCCGTCCCTCCACACCCCACCTCGGGCAGCACAGGTGGGACAGGAACAGCACAATTCAAGTACAGTGGCTCAGGGAATGGGAACACACAGGTAACGAAATCACAGGCTGACTAGAGCAAGATAAATATTTAAAGCATAAAATGTGATTTCCAAACACTGTGGGGCAGGGTGGCGGTGGAGCGTGGGGACAGCAAAACAGATGATGAGCGGCAATAACCTGATTACACATCCAGAAATGGATCACCCAAGCCACACCAACAGAAGCACTATTAATTCTGAGATAAAGCAAACATGGCAGCAAGTTCTTCCTATCAAATCAAGCAGTGCCTGGTGTCAGACACCTCAGTGCAGCAGCCTGATCCTTGCAGGAACTGGGTCCTCTGGCCTGACACCCACCCCAGGGGCTCTGGGGTCCTGCAGCATCTCAGCCAGACCCTGAATCCTCTCAGCAGAGCTCAGGGCAACCAGATCCCAAGGCTGGGCTTTGTGTTCAGCTTTTGGGATCATCTAAACCCAGGGCAGGAAAGTCAAAGCACCCTGAAGGGGGGCACTGGCCTGGGAAAGGCTCACTGCTGCCTGGGACTCCTCCAGACTGCCCTCCATTCCCATGTGCTTCATGGGCACAGGAGGTGGCAACTCAGGGGAAGTCCAAGGATACAAAGGGAGCAGAAAGTTTAAATATACAGTGTTTTACAAAAAAAAAAAAAAAAAATTGGCAATGGACTAGCAGCATTTTGGCCGAGAACAGAGTAACTGGGGTTGTCACATTATTTAGAAAGAATTATCTAGGCAGAAACAAATGAGAACCAATTATAACTAAATAGACCTCCTGCACAAATAGGAATTTGCCATTAAGTATCATTTATCCCATTTAATTAGTATTTTCTGGACACAATACTCAGGACTAAAATACCATTCCATCTCCTTGAAACTTGTAATTATTGTTGCGACCTGTCCTGTTCCGCATCCCCCCACTTCCTCCATCCATGCCATTTAAGAACCAGCAAGATTTTCAATTATCTGTGCTGAACTGTCAAAGCTACCTTTAAAAGAAGGGGAATAATGTGTGACTCAATTCCTCTAAAAAAGGGGAGAGATCATTTTTAGTCAGAATGAACACACTGCATCTTTCATCATTCTATTTTTGCGAGTAAGAGTAAAACAGGCTATTTAAAACATCCATTTAAATGCAAATTTTTTATATTCCAGGCTGGGGGGGGTTGAGAGTTAATAATTTACCACAGACAGGATTATTTTCTTCACTCCACCCCTGCTAAAGTTGCAGGCTGGCACCCCCACAGGTGTGGGGATCTGCACTTACCCAACATTCCCATCCCTAGCATGAACGCGTCCATGGTGTACGGCAATCCACGTGCCCTTCCTCTCGTCCCTGGTGGAAACATCACTTCTTTAGGTTGTGCTTTCTTACATTCTACCTATTGAGCAGAAACACGTACAAATGAGATGCAAATGAATTCCATGTAAATGTCAAATGCAGAACTGATCCACTTAAGGGGGGGAGGTTTATTTTTAGCACCTGCCTCCCCGCTCAAAGGTGAACTTCCAGCACAGCAGAACCACGTCTGGAAGAGCAAACGTGTGCGTCTCCTTAACCACCCACTGCAGCTCCCAAAGATGACACAAGTGCTGATTTAAGGAGTTCTGTGCTCCTGAAAGGGAGCCCAGCACTGGTGGGAGCGGGATGAATGGAGGGAGGGCTCCAGCGCAGCTCCACTGCAATCGATAACGCACAACGACTCCCAGTGATCATTACAAAAAGCTCCTTTTAAAATAGGAATAAAGAATCGATATTTCTACCCAGCAGAAAATTTCTGTAAACCCTATTAATAAAGGATCTGCATTCTTTCACTTTCAGTTACTCCTGCCGCCTTGGGAAGCTGCTCAAGCTGCCCATGCACCATCCCATCAGCAAATTGGGACAACGTGGGCACAGGAGTGAAGCAGCACAGCATGGATTCCCTGGGGACCTGGATGGTGCCTCTTCATCCACAGGAAAAGCAGAAAGAAAAGGGGCCTGGCTGCTCCTGTGCCAGAACCCAGCCCTGTCCTTGCAGGGAAGGGGATGGAGATGGAAGGACATTCCAAAGCCACAGCTACCTTTAGAGCAAAGCCCTGGAGGGATGTCCCACATGTGGCAGGGCAGGCAATGGGGCTTCTCCAAGAGGAAATGTACATGGATTTATGAGTCAGGATTCAGCTCCATGCTGAATTGCCCCTGAGAGTGCCTGATAAGGGTCTTTGTACACACATCTGGACCTCACTCAAACTTTCAATTCAGAGTTTCTGGGCACCTTAATAATTTCCAGATTTTTTCCACCTCCTCATAGGAGGATGTGCTACACTTTCAGCAGCCCAACAAAGAAAGGTTTAATTCTAAGGCTAGAAAAATAAAAAAAAAGAAAAGAAAAAAAAAAGGCAGGGAAACTAAAATTCACTATTTTTGTTTAGTCTAGTTCGGAGAATTAACCTTGCACTGGGGTACTCCTGGGTCAGGCAGAGCAGTCTCAGCCACGGGAAGCCAGGAGGGCTGAGCTGGGGAGTGAAAAGCCTCTTATACCCAGCACAACAAAACAGGCTGTCAGCCCTCAGCCCAGGATGTCTCACAAACCCCTGGCTAACAGCTTTCCAGGGAAAGCAGAACGTGAATATCCACAATGCACAAACCGCCATTGAGCCACCCAAAGACAAGGAGACTTTGTTGTGCCAGCCACGTGTGAGGGGCTGCAATCACCTTGGGGACAACGTGTCACTCACACCAGGCAGCAGCACAGGGGCTTTCAGCTAAATTCAAAAAATGCACTGAGTTGTGAGTCTGTTATCTACCACATTACTGATCAATGGCTGGGGCTTGGGATTAAAGGGTCTGGGACAGGCCCTGGCACAGGGTGCCCAGAGAAGCTGTGGCTGCCCCTGGATCCCTGGAAGTGCCCAAGGCCCACAAAACCTGCAAAATCCCACCCTGAGAGGCAGGAAGAGCCTATTCTAGAATAACCAACATTTCAGTCAGCTGCTCAAGTGCCTGACATGAGAGCTTGACTCCAGCTCATCACCCCTCTCACCAGCACTGTACCCAGGGTGTGGGTGACTCCACACAGTGGGATCTAGGTAATTACTCCACCACATTTCATTTCCAGCCACTTTTACTCTTCTTAGAGAAACAGGTGTCTCTTTGCAAAGCAGCCTGCTCCTGTCAAGGGAACAACAGTCTGAGGACAGCTCGTTTGGGTTTATTGTCCCCCTGCAATGTTTGGAGCATCTCTGGCCTCCCACGTAAATTCCAACTTCCATTTATTAAATACCTCACTGGCATTTTCTTTTCACTGTCCCACTGCTCGTTTAATATTACATTTGACATTCTAAGCTTTATGGATGGCAACAGGAGCAGAATGGGTGAGCTAAAAATAGCCTGCCAGGGAGGCTGGAGCTGGAAATAGGCTGGGGAGCAGCGGCCCTGCTGTCCTCTGCCTGCCCTGCCCTGGGGACACGGCCAGGACAGCAGCAGGAGGGAGCTGGGGAAGCAACAACAGCCCCAGCCCATGGAGCCAGCTGGGCATGGGGACAGGGATGGGACAGGGACACGGGCAGGGATGGGGATGAGGACAGGGATGGGACAGGGACACGGGCAGAGATGGGGATGAGGACAGGGATGGGACAGGGACACGGGCAGGGATGGGGATGAGGACAGGGATGGGACAGGGACACGGGCAGGGATGGGGATGAGGACAGGGTGTCCCAGTCCCAGCTCACCAAACCCCGTGGCCTGGGGCTGGGGCTGTGAGAGCTGCTCCCCTCCCTGGCTCAGGGACACAGGGGGACACAATCCCAGAGTGACAGCACCCCAGCACTGCCCTGGGCAGCTGTGTGTCACACCAGCCAGCTGTGTGCCAGCCCCAGCTCCTGTCACACACACGGACACTCACACAGAGCTCCCTGGCCCTGCATTCAGCTGCAGCCACAGCCCAGGGCCGTGACTCAGTCCCAAGACAGGATTGTGTCTCATCCCCTGCTCGTGGGCTGCTTTCACAATCAGGGCTGAGGGAGGGACACGGAGGAGAATGTGGCACTGGAGGGGGCACTGAGCGGGCACAGGAGTGGGAAGGGGACATTCTAATTACCCAGCAACAAACACCAACACTCCAAACTGTTTCTCTTTCTGATGTTCCTCGAGTGTTTTCACCCTGTCCCATGCTCCCTGCTCCCTTCCTGGGCAGCTGGGAAGGAATCCTCCCCAGAGCTCTGTGCTATTCCTGCTCCCAGGTGAGGCTTTCCCAGCCCATGAGGTACCAAACACTGGCCCTGCTGCTGCCCAGCACCTCCCCAGGGCCATCCTGAGCCCTGCTCCACAGAAAAGCCTCTCCTGGGGAGCAACCAAACCTATGGAGTGTGCCCTCCTGCTTGGACAGGAAAATCCTGGAGGGGAGCTCTTTCCTCCCAATTCACAATCCCTAAATTCACATCCCAGTGTTTCTCATTTGTTTCTGACTTGTCATTAGCTCTGTTGGGTGTGGGCGGCTGGGGTTTGTTCTGCTCCTTTGTTTTAAGGCAGATCAGCAGCATTTAGGATCCTTACAAAGGGAATGAGGCTCCCCCAGCCCAGGCAGGCAGGAGAGCCCAGTGCAGGAGGGGCAATGGGACAGGAACAGCATCCATGGGAAGCAGAGCCAGAGACTCCTCACAGGAGCAGGGGCACTGCCCCAGCCCTGCCCACACCCACCCCACACTTGGCCAAGGGGACCCTCACTTTTATTTCAGATGCATATTGCAGGGAGCAACAATATGAGGAATATTATTTCAGTGCCCTGGGAAAAATTAGCAAGTCAAATATTGAATCAGGCCTCCAGCATATGCCAAGGAGATTGCTTTGATCTTATCCACACTAAAAGCTCTATTATTAAATTTAAAGTCTGTGAACACATATCAGACTGATATACAATGCATATCTGAATACACATTTGAGAAGCAAAGGATGTTTTGACAAAGGGAAAAAGAATATTTTAGCCGAAAATATCAAAGTTACTGCAGCAATTGAAATACAAATGCCCCTTTTCATCTGGCTCAGGGCAACCCACAACCTGGGACCTGCCTGCCACTGAGGAGGAACTTGAGGAGCTCAACTCACACCCTGCCCAAGGGCTCTGACACCAAACGCTGCTCTGGGGAGCTGTGGGGACCAGCAGGGGCTGGGCAATGTCCCAGCTCAGCCCCTGACCCCCAGCACCCTCCCAGAGGGGTGTCCCACCATCCCTGGGCATGGCACACGTCAGGGAGGGCGGCTCAGAGCCCCCCGGCACCCCCACAGCATCAGCACCAACACTCACCATTTTATTATTGATTTCGTGGAAGTGAATTTCACAGACTTTTTCCACCACGTCTTCGTTTTCGAAAGTTACGAAGCCAAATCCTGTTTGATAAAGATACAAAAAAGGGGAGGAGGTGAGGAAAACATTAGTTAAATTTAACAATTTTGTTTTAATAAAGCATTATTTAGCCACTGGGACTTTGGAAAACTTCCATAACAGCACACATGTGTGGCTACACCTGCTGCCTATGGAGCTGTTCCTGAGCTCATTGCAGCCTAATGGAGGGAAGAAGCATTGTCTCAGGGAAAATTAATACTGCTCTGTTCCAGCTCTTCCATAGGATTTAATGGAGAATTAAAACCTCCTCATGGATTTTTTGATCCATCCTGCAGAATTTAATGGATAGTTACACCCCAGTTACATGATGGCTCGGAAACTACAATAAGGCTGTATTTTCCTTTACACCTTATAGGTTTTTAAGAGCAATCTCTACAAAACCCAATTATATTTCTATGGAACCATATTGATTTCATCTCTTGTTTAATTCCACGGGACTTCTCCATTAGAGCTGACTCATTACACGACCCAAAACCCATAAAAATCCGGGAAGGCAGAGGACGATTCCTCATTTACCCCTGGCAAGGAGAAGAACCCCAGCGCCTCCCAAACACAGAGCAGCCCTGTGTGCTGTGTGTGCTCTGGCTGCCGGGGCAGCCCCGCTCCGGAGGTGGTTATTTGTCCCTTTCTTCCTGAATTACTTCCTCTAATACCTCATCAGGACATCCTGAGGCCTCCAGGAACCCATTACACTTCAGGCTCTGATCTAATCGTTCCTCTCCTCTCAGTGCTGCTTCAAAGAGCCAGGATTTGGGCTGGCTTGGGCTGTTTGAAGCCTGCTGCCTGCCTGTGGCTGTGCACCGGAGGGGTCTGGCAGCCCCCCTGCTCCTGCCTTAACAAACACCTCAGGCTGATGAAAAACCCCAGTTCGTGTGCTGGAGAGGGCTCCAGGAGTTAACACCGACACTAATTATGCCAATGAAACCTAAAGGCTTTACTGAGAGGATGAATTCCATCCCAAACTGGGAGCTGCAGGACTGTGCCCTGGTGAAGCACAGCACAGCACAGGGACAGGGCAGTCTCTGGATGGGGAGCAAAGGGCATTTCCAGGTGAGCTCTGCGGGCTCTTCTGGCACTGCACAGCACCTGCAGCCCTGGGGAATGCTCCCATTGCACTCCAGACCCGAAGGATCCCCAGCAATGGTTCCAGCCCCTCTCCAAGGCATCCACAGCACACCGGGCTCACCACCCTGCTCTGCTCTGCACCTCGAGCTGCCAGCAGCTTGCATTTTTTACATAACTCACGTCTTTCATTTGCCTTCTAAATTACTCCATTTAAATGTACCTCGACCAGACGTGCAGTTAAACCCGGGATTTTTGTGGCTGAGTGCCCGAATGCGGCACCCCAGCAATCCCACAGCCAGGAGCACAGCCTGGACCAGGGATGAGATGGCCGGGCTGGGGCCACAAGTCATTAATTGCTCCAGCACCGGCAACATCTTCATCATTAGCAGCTCATTAGCGAGTGCTGCAGCTGAGGATTCCTCTTTCAGCTCGTGTTAGGTGTCGGTGCCAGGACGGAGGGCAGAGGGAATTTAGGAGATTAGCCCTAATATGTGAACACCAAGGAAGCCGCTGCACTCAGGACGTGTCTGGACTGAAACAGAACTCCCACCCTCATCCCACTCCATATGGCATAAGCACAGGTTTATCAAGAAATTATTAGTGTGATTAAATCAGATGGCCACCCGGCTTCCTGCATTTCCAGCTTTTACAATAAAATAACAATCTGTAGGTGTTAGGAGGCGTTTGTGGGTTTCTGAGAGATCTGAGGCACTTGGTCAGAGTGGCCTGGAGAGGAAAAGGAGAGGAAAACCAGAGGTGACCTCTACAGCGCCCAACACCTCAAACACAGTGGGAGCAAGCAGAGGATTTCCACCTGCAGGAACACTGAGATTCCTCCCTGGGAGGGTGGAAAGGGCCTGGAGCAACCTGGGACAGTGCAAAGTGTCCCTGCCTTGAGTACCTTGAGGTTCCTTCCAACCCACCCATTCTGTGATTCTCTTCTTGTTCCACTTCGTGGGTATCAAATCCAACTTTTAATAACTGCACCCACACAAAGCTCCCCCTGCACGCTCAGTCTTATTAGATCCCATAATGAATACAAACTCATATTTAAATTACCAAAACTCTCAGAAACCTTCCTGGGCTAAATAGACAATTATTTCTTCTGAGAGGTACTAAGAGTCAACAAAAAGCTGGTTCTCAGAAAGTGCAAGGAAAAGATTAACCCAAAACAAAGGCGGCTGTTGAAAACGGTGACAGAAATAGGATTCTGGTTGTCAAGGAGCACACGTTTTAAAATGAAATTATACTGCATCCTTCTGAATGAAGCTATTATTGGAAGCTAACAAGCTCTATTTAAGAGATAAGCATTTAACAGAGTCAAACGGTTGGGTTTTTTATTCAAATGAATAAAACTGAATATTCATTTGAATAATCTTTTCTGTAAAAGAAAAGACAAAGAAGAGGGAGAAAAATAAAGTAAGAGGCAAACAGATGCCCCAAACGAGAGGCTCTGAGCCAAGCACCAGCACTAAAGGAAGCTGAGACATGTATCCGTGACCTTCAGGTGAAAAACCCTCCTCTGGAATCTCCTGGGAATGAGGAGTTATTCCACTCCATTCATCTGCTGCCAAAGGAGTCAGCCCACTCCATTCATCTGCTGCTCATGGGCACCAACAGGCACCCAAGTGATGCCAGCCCAGACACCTGACACCCAGTGGTGCAGGACACGTCCTCCACACACCCTGACACCAGAAAAGAGAAGAATTCAGGAAGAAATTCTTCATGGAAAGGGCTGGAAGGGGCTGCCCAGGGAGGTTTGGAGTGCCCATCCCTGGAGGTGCCCAAGGAAGGGCTGCAGGTGGCACCCAGGGCTCTGGGGACAAGGTGGGCACCAGGCACAGCTGGACTCAGTGATCCTGGAGGTCTTTTCCAATCCATTCTGGGATTCTGTGGAAGCCTCCTTTGATGCCAAGCCCTGGTCAGCCCCAGAGCTGCCCTGTGGGAAGGTGGCTCCACAGCCAGCTCAGCACGTTCTGCCATGGTGTTCCAGAAATGAGACAAACACTGCTCAGAGAAAGGAACTGACACCACAAACAGATTAAAACACTGTAAAAGAACAGTCAGAAGCCATAAATACTATTAAGAAGCCAGACTGAAGATACCAAATGTCAGGACTCCCGTGCTCTGTATTTTGGGTTTTTTCACACTCTAACCAACTCCATTTCACACTTTTGTCATCACTTGGGAGTTTTTACGTCAATTTGGTAAAATATAGCTGAGATGACGACACCAGGGCTGTGAGATGCTTCTCCCTTCCCTGGCTGGCAGCACCAGCCCCAGAGCCCGGGTCTGGCTCACAGTGTCACAGCTGTGGCTGCACACACCGAGCACTCACTGCCTGCACAGTGACACCAGAGCAGCTCACCCAGCAAAGGTCTCACTGTCAAACCCTGCTGGCCTTTCCACCAGCAAAACAAGGCGATTGCACCCCAGGCCACAGAGGTTAAACCCAGGCTAATGCTGGGTTAACCCTGGGGGCTCTGATGGACACAGCAATGCCACAGGTACAGCACCTCCACCAGCACCCAAACCCAGCTCACCAGGCAGGCACAGCCCCAGGGGCTCTCCAGCCACCTGGAACATGCCCTGGTGGGTGAGCACACTGCAGCCAGAGCCTGGTTTAGGGCCCAGGCTGCCTGGAGGCCACTGGGTGATGTGCAGCAAGTCACTCAATCTCATCTGATGCACTCTGTGCCCACACTGCTGTGAGCCTGCAGCTGGGACAGCCTCCTCCTGCACCTACAGAGCTCCTGAAAATATCCTGGGAACCAGGGGATCACCAGGGACCTTCTGTCCTGCACAGCAATCCCACAGAACGTGGCAGGAGACAGGAGCGGGGAGAGGACAAAGGAGGAGAACTGCACACCCCTATCACACCAACTTCCACCTGCAGGCACAGATCACTGAAATTCCACCCTGGGAGGGTGGAAAGGGCCTGGAGCAACTTGGGACAGTGGAAAGTGTCCCTCCAAGGGCAGGAGACGGGAGCAGGGAGAGGACAAAGGAGGAGATTTGCACATCCCTCTCATGCCAACAGGGCTCTGCCCAAACCTGGCTCCTGCTGCTCAGCAAGGATCACCCCAGAGTCACTTGTGGGTGCAGGGTCAGCCCCCCTGTCACACCGAGTGCCCCACAGCACCCCCCTGCTCCTGACCCCCACCCACTGGGCACTGGGATGGCTCCCTGGGGTCCCTCCAGCCCTGCCATGGGAGCTGCCAGGAGTGGCTGTGCTGACAGATGGGGACATCCAGGCTGATTTCATCAGCAAACACCAGCTCAGGCTGTGCTCCCCTTGTGCCGGGGCTCTGGGGCTGCCCTGCTCACCCACCTCTGCCCTGCTCCTCACATCTGAGCTACTGAAATGCAGAAAGTCCAGTCCTGCTGTGGTATTATTTATGCACCTGCTTCCTTGTTTATACCCATAGTTTTGGCAGCTGGTCCTGTGAAAGGTAATAAAATGCCTTTCAAAAGTAAAAAAAAATTAAAAATGAAGAAATGTGACCAGACAAGCCAGGCATAATAACATTAAAGCCCGTGTCAATTAATTTTTCCTCTTCTTGATAAACGAGCCCCATTCCATCCATTAATAATGAGGGAAGAAACAAGAAAAGTTGACACTAGTTTAATTTATTTTCTCAACTTGCCTGGTCATATTTCTCCCTGTTGCAAAGCTTTCTGGTGCTGCTGGGAATTGCAAGTGGCTCCCACACAGTCGATGCATAGATTGGTGTGAATCAATACCATTCTACTTTATTCACACATCCCTTGTAATCAGAGAGGAAAAAGTTCCTTAGTAAGCTCCCAGCCTGCCAGGCTGTCTTATAAAAATAAAAATAATAATAATAAACTGGCAGGTGGGGGATGTGACACCAAGTCCTGTGATCACCAAATGCTGTCTTTGTAGATGAACAGAACA